CCTAGGAATAGGCCCGACATAAATACAGAACAGAATTCTCCACTCAAGCACACAGAGCGACGTCCAACTTCAAGGTAAGCGTCTGGTCAAGTTTATTTTAGTGTGTTATGCCTGTCGGTGAACTCAAAGCTCTGTAGCGAGGGTTCATCCGGCAACTGTGTGTTTTGGCCGATTACTATCGGGTGGTTTAACGTGACGGCTTATTGTTGCCTATTTGCACGGCTGGCAGCGCTTGTATTGCATCCCTTTTATTCTTCCAACCGAATGTTAAACACTCGGTGCTCTCGTAAAAGGCTTACCCGTGCCTGGTACCCTTCCGCTGCTGGGACCACGAGGATTCAAAACACCTGCTAGCTTTGCTCGTGCTAGTAGCGTGTACTTATTTTAACAGGTTGGCCGATATAAGTAGTTTACAAGGTCCGGTCTTTACCGGTGCAAGGGCAGAACTGGGGTCTTCAGGTCTACCCGAAAGATCGATTGCTATTCTAGCAGACGTATTGTTGTCGGAACGTCCTAACTACATTTGTAGCTAGAGTTCACGGGGGAATTCCATTACCACAGCTGGTGTCGCGACCCGGAAACAGAGGGTGGCCATTGTGAACTGTTTGTATGGCCTTCTAGTTAGCGAGGAACCAAGAGAAGAAGAACAAGAAAAACAAGAAAACAAGAAGTATGGCGAAATAACAACCGACGGTACCAGCTACGCCTGCCAAGTCTGGCGGGGCTCGCAACAAGGGTTCAAGCTCGGACGTGTCGGCTGAACGCCAATCAGCTTGTAGAACACATCTACTGGTTGGCGTGGTCCGAGACCACGCCGTTAACTTTCAATACATCTCAGAGTCTAATTTGCCTGCTTCCTCACGCACAATGTACGTAAGGTAACGGGTTGCTGAAAGCCCGTTACAAATCAGACCATGTCGCTTATAGTATCGCTCTCTTCGCTTTGTATCTTTATGATCATAGTCACGGTATGCTTTTAAATTTGTGCGATCTTGATATTGCTGATAGGGCTCACCATTGGACTTGATTGCTCCAAACGACACGACTCTGCCATCGCTGAGCAACGCATCGTATTTTTTGCCCTTGCGCTTGGAAAACGCGGAGCTTATATCCTAACTCTTGCATAGTTTATAGTACAGATGTCATTATCCGAGCTGCTTGAATAGTTTGTAGAACTCGTCGTCTTTTCCATGCTGCAAATAGTAGAGCCATAAGATACAGAAGCCATCACAGTGCCCGAATCGGGGGTCTTGGATATCAATTTCGCGATAAGAATAGTCTTTGAGAATAACGCGTTGTCTTGGAAGGCCTAGAGGATCGAAGTAGCGCTTGTCTTTGTTTGAGACTACCAGCCAATGTGTGCCTCCGATAATTGGATTGCCCATATTGATTCTTGTATAATCTTTGCTACTATCAAGATTTTGCTTGAAATCGATTTGATCTACCTTTACCCCAAGAGAAGTAGCGAGTTTCATTAGTTGAGCATCTGTTGTTCGAGACAATTTAATAATTTTGTTCTTGCTCATATATTTTTTTTGCTGAAGATCTATATCTTGCCCCATATAAAGCAATTTCGTACTATACAATGTCCACCGCAAGCGATATCTCTGCTTTCGAGCACTCCGTCGAACCCGCTCCAGCTGAAACGCTCTTCCATGATAAGAAATGGACCTATATTCAGGATTCGACTAGTAACACTGGTCAATACGCTGGTCAAATTCAATTCAACCTTTCCACGATCTCTTCTCAAGCTGCGTTTGTCAACTGGGAAGAGGCTGTCATTCAGCTTCCAATCAAGCTTCAGATTCTCAATGCTGGAGAATCTTCTGTTACCTTGACCGCTGCTTGTACCATTGATCAGCTTGTTCCTAAGACAGGTGCCTGGCAATTCATTGGTTCCGTTCAAGTTGTTGTAGATGGCGTGACCGTTCAGACGAATCAAGTTCATGAAAATGTGAATGCTACGTTCAAGGCGCTAACCGAATGGGACTACAGCTCCTACGTTAAACGAGGACCAACGAGCAGCTTCGTGCTAGATGAATATCGTCTACCAATTCCCGGAGTCGCACAAAATCTTGACAACATGGCAACATCCAATTATATTAACGGCACCGTTGGCGAATGGGGTCTTTTTAACACATTTTCGAATGTAAGTGCGTACGAACGATCGCTATTCACCGCGCTTGATCAAAGCAGCGGTAAACTTACATATGATATCATGGGATCTAATGCCAGTATCCAAGTTGTGTCAAAGCCGCAAGTATACGTCGCGCCATCTGGCGCCGTTGCTGCCGGTGCTCCATTTTACGTAGCTCATTGTTTAGCCTGCATTAAGCTCTCTGACTTATCCGACTACTTCAAGAAATGTCCACTGCAAAAGAACACGAAGGGGTTCATCTATATCAACTAAAACAGCTCTGCTATGTCAATTACCACTGGTGGATCAGCAGGTACGGTTGCAGCAACGAATATTGCTAGCATCAACAGTAACATGAGCTTCGGCATCACTTGCCCAATTCTCTGGAATGGTTCATCCGCAAATACAACCAGCACTGGCGAATCAACTGGTTTAGCTATTCCAGGATCAACAAATTTATTAGTCACAGCCGATGTTAATGGTACTGCAACTTCGGGAAGTGGTATTGCTCCATCGTAGACTTTCTCTCGTCTACTGGTTCCAACGTATAGCCCAAATCCATCAGCTGACAACGCTCTCATCCCAAAGAAGACGTTCCGTTACTTTGAACGTGTAATTAACAAGTTGACTGTCTAAGCCGGTCAGTCATTTTCATGGACGGTGACGAATGGTATTGCCAATCCGAAGAAATTGATTATGCAACCTGTTATTACAAATGTAACCCCTGGATCAAGCTCTTTACCAGATGTGATCAATCCATTCCGTAGTTGCTTTTCAACGATTCCAGCCACGACGAGTCCTTATGCAGCTTTAAAAAATATTCAAGTAACGGTGGGTAACGTCCCAATTTGGAATAACCCTGCCAACTTCGGCTACGATCTATTCGTACAAGAAATGTCAAAATCTGGCGTTGATGGTGGCCTCGATGATGTCACTAAAGCTGGCTTATTGTCTCAGCGTCTATGGGAATCACTGTACCGATTCATTGCTGTTGACATTGGCCGTCGTCTACCCAGCGAAGATGGTGCAAGCAAGTCGATCATTTTTTCGGGCACGAACAACACGAACTACGCGCTTACAATTTTTTTTCATATTCTACGTGAAGTCGTAGCAGCTGTAGATACTGCTATGGGCACTGTCTCTCAAGGCGCGGTTCAAAACTAAATGCCAACCCGCTATCAATTAGTATTTTTTTTATTTGCCAAATATAGCATCCAGGCACAAATGAACGGGTTCTTCACTGATAACCAAACTAAGCAAAAAGCGTATGATCGCTACTACAATGCAATGGCCAAAAGTGATTTTGTCCAAGGCGCGAAGTTGAAAGCAACGATTCAGCAGCAAGCTTTAGACGGCGCTAGCAGCGATTCTTTGGCAACTTTGTTCCAACAAGACATGGGCAAATCACAGGATTATGACTATGATCAGATCACTAGTAAGCTCACGAAGAAGGCTCCTCCAGTAGTTAAGAGTGACGGAGGAAAGCTCCACGACTCACCAAAAGAAACCAAACCCTCACCAAAAGAAACCAAATCCAAATCCACATCTTCAAAAAAATATAAGTATGTTCCTCAGCAAACTGATACGGACGGGAGCATGAACGCTCCACCGAGCTTCTCGTACGAGGAAATGTTCAATGACGAAAATTTAATGAATCATATGAACAACTTCGATTACACTAAAAGAAAGAAACACATGGATGTGGAAGAAGCTTGTCAAGATCGTATTCAAAATACTTGACGAAAAATAAAGATTTTAGAAGCAAGGTATTTATGCATAACCGTAAGACTACTAAAGAAGACATTGACGATAAGGCCAGTGAAATCGCAGTTCTTGAAACGTAAACATGATGCACCTGATCCAGATGAGACATCTCCTAAACTCCGACCCAAAACTAAAATCAAACAGGAAGAAATGGAGCGCAAAATGAGCTCTGCTGATCTTGGTGCTGATAAGAAAGAGGAGGTTAAGGAGCGTGTAAAAGCTTATTTTAATAAAGTTGTTGATGATAGCACACTGCGAATTTAAACCATCTTCTTAACTTATGTAGCCCAAGCTCTATTCTGTATTATACAGAACAATTGTTTGACTTGATTAACATATTGCTGTTAGCTCGGTAAAATTAATCCGTTGCAAGCCGTTCGGCATGAGCAGTGTCTTATACGCCGTGAATTGGGACTTAGGTGATGTTTTGGCTGCCATAAATGCAACAATGTACCCACCATCTGTACGATATCTCTGTTTTTATTGGCTTTGAAATGATGTGCAGCGAATGATGTCTGTAAAAAAAACTTTGATTATCAGTATCCCCCGGAATCAGATATCAAAACGATTTTAACGCCAGAATGACTGGTCGCGCCAAAGGTTTGTCGGCGCGTCGGCGCGTTCCCACACCAACTTTTTGGCCAGTTCTAGACTAGACGGAAGTGAAGAAGAACTAGGATAGAAAACATGGCCGAAATGTTGGTGTGGGAACGCATAGAACTGCTGACTGGGGAAAGGAGGTATTTATTTCAATGCGGCATTAGAAACTAATACTTCGCTAACTAACCTCGGCATGCTCTAACGCATCTTCGCTACGTTTACGCTTACGGAATCGAATATTCTTCCTCAGCTGAGCAGGTATGGCAGGGCCGTTTGCCCAAGCGTCATGCCAAATTTGATCGCATGTGAGTCGGTTTCCTTCTTCTTTTCGGTGCACGCAGTTGCAGAGGGGTACATATCCATCGTGCAGTTCCACACAGGCCTCGCAGAAAAACGGCTCTCAAACCCTTTGGTTTTTGGTGGAGCCATAGCAGAACAAACCTTGCATAGGTGCTGACGTCGCTTGTCCTTGTATTTTCTCTCTTGCTCTTGTAGTTGGTGCTCGGGTCGAGGCAGTGGGATCGAGGCCAAGTCTTCTGCTTGCTTATTACTAGCCAAACTTGTCGCGGTGAGTGCTAATAACTCGACATGTAAGAAACGCATGTACTCTGCATGACTTGGAACTTGTTTGTTATCTTTTCGCATTTTTATCTTATGCACGATGAAGCCGTTCACGATGGCCATGTCGACGAGCCCGAGAAAGAGCTGCCGGTAATACTTCTTGAAGGCAACGCATCGCTGGATTGAATACCTCTGGAGACGTAACTGGTCGTGGCGGTCAACGCCCCCCATTCCACAATGATAATCGGCAAGTAACTTAGGACATGGCACCACTTGAGATATCGCAGATCCCTTCTCCTTTCTGGTGACGGTGGTAGCCGTGGTTGCACAACCGGTAGCAATTAGATTCACAGGTTTTGAGTCCATCCAGGACACAGCAACCAGGTCAGAGTGATCCTTCGACTAGGCAATACGATAAGTTCCTCGGGGCATCGACACGGGCCGCTTTTTCTGTGTGAACGTGAATCCAGCTGGCCACCCGAGACGGTCGCTTCGGTGTGTCCCGACGTAGTAATACCCTTTCTCCAACAGTCCGATCGCGAGTGCGCACGATGAGTAGAAGTTATTCGCAATAACAAGACGTTTTCCCTGCTGCCCATTCAGAGCTTTGGAGACGTTGCGAATGCCAGCTTTCTGCGCGACACCCTTCGCTTAATACTTGGCTACGTTTCGCTCTGCAGGAGTCTGCGCGTTCTTCGACTCGTCCGAGGCACCCATGTAAACTTCAGTGCTGAGCCATACAGAACACCAAGCACAATAGTCAGCTAACTCTGTATCCGACAGAACATGCCATTCTGTACCATCCGGAACAAGCTAATCAGCGTAGCTTATGCTGTATCGTACAGAGTAAAAAGAGAATACGCACCGAGAACAATACCCGGATTCCGCACAGCAGGCCATGTACACCTTCGTCCCGTACTTGTGCGGTTTGTCCTTGTTGTAGGCGCGTACCGGATTGAACTTACTTCGGTTAGGAATGGTCCCCTCGTCGAAGCTAATGCGCGCTCCAAGTCGATACCCTCGGCGAAACGTCTTCTCCAGTGTCTGCAATACAGGTCGCACCTTCCAAGCCTTATCAATCGTAGTAGCGCCCGCGGCTGAGCTATGAAAGTGAAGGTATCGCATGATGGTACAAAAAAGATCCCGAGACATGTATCTGTTGAACGTTCCTCGGGGTATCGCTCCATCTTCCTGTGTCCGCCAGTGCTTGTCGAGGCCATCCGTGTGACTGCACAACGAGCGCGCTATCAGCAGACCCACCACGTGCAAAATTTCGTGAGCCTTTATCGATCTTGTCTTCGTCAGCTTCTCCACCAATGCTTCTGCTGGTTGTACTGTCTTCGTGGGGTCCTTTGCGCAAGACTCGAGCTGCTTAGCACGCTGGGCGGCAGCGACACTTGGTATACACTCGATACGATACGCCTCGGACTCCTTCGCAATGTGAAACCACAACTTCTTAGGGAGAAAGTAGAAAAACATACCCAACGGCGAACTAACGAAAGCTGCGGCAGACCTGGTGGGCCCAAACTACCAGTCACAGCATATAAAGAGGCAGCTGAAAGTACTCTGTATGATACTATCTTATCACAATGGTTTTGATCATAGATCTCCCAACCAGAAGCAGCCATCGTGCGCATAGCAATATCATCTTGTGCAAATTCGCTGCTGTCATCTTCAAACTCGTCATCTGATTCCACCTCGCTTTCGTATAATTCTGATAGGTCCCCAGGAGCATCGACAGGATCTCTAACCGACTCAACGTCTTCTTTAGGCACCAGGCTATGGTCAGCTATGTTCACATCGTCCGCATCAACCGGCCCAAACAATCTTTCAGATCTCATCGCGTCGATAAAGTGCGGGGAATCGAACACATCCAGACCGGTCCAACTGGTCGCAACCTCGCCACATCCTTGTTCTGTAGGAGCCGTCAATCTACCTTCGACGTCATTACCGTACTCTGGATCTGCCGCCGAAGTCGGTTCCGTATCCGCCGGCGCAGCTAACGGCATGGCATCAACTTGCTCGGTATCCACCGCCACAGTCTCCTCCTCAGCGCCCCCTTGTTCTGTATCCGCCGGCACAGTCTCCTCCTCGGCGCCCCCTTGATCTGTACCCGTCGTTACAGGTTTCTCCACGCCGCCGCCTTGATCTGTACCCGCCGCACCGTGTCATCTCCCACTGCGCCTGACAAGAGGGTTGGCGAGGGCATTCGTTTCCTTGCAGCTGCATACGCGGCCTTCTTTCCCATTGGAGGCCGTCCGACAGTTATTGGGCCCCGAAAAGAGGGGGTAAGACGAGGTATCAACCCTTCTCGCATAGCAAAACCCCACAACGCTTTTGTGCCTAGTACATACAGCGTTAGAAAAAAGTAAGTCATGTTTATGGCGGGCAACACGCACCAACAAAGTACTCCAGTCCTGCCTTGTCCTTACGAAGCCGACATTTCACGCCTGGTTTTACATAGGTGTGCTCCGAGTCCAGGCCTGTCGGCGGTCTTGCCTTCCATTCAGCCTTGATCAGAGAGGCCCATAAACGCTTGAACTCCTTTGGGTCAATCCACTCAGTCATTTCTGGACGATTTCACGAAATGGTGGGCGGGAAGATGGGATGAAATTAGAATTATGAAACCTCTGGACGAAATGCGTGGGCGAGAAGATGACGGGATGAAGTTAGAATTTTGAAACCTCTGGGCATTTTATATTGCCTTTTCTATTGCAGAGGAATAATACCCGTCTATCTCCTGGTCTCTGATCCAAAATGATAAGATGCCCCATCCCCACAAATACAAACTCCTATATGCGCAGAATCGCTGTTGCCATTCGCGTTATATAAGCTTGCATCATACTTCCCACTGTCATATTACATATTCTGTATAATACAGAACACCGGGCTTAAAGAATTAATACTATCAGAACACAATTTAAATCGGTCGTAGATGACAAACATGGTAATAATTATTTTGATACGCATGCACCGAAAATGACAGGAAAACATACGAAGGCCAACATGAACCAATACAAAAAAGTATTGAAAGAGTGGATGAAGGTTGTATTAAACACATAAGTTTCTACTGCCACAATATCACTCTACATCGAGAAACTATCCTCCCGAAGTTGCGATTCGTCTTTGAATACGAATGTGCTTGGTGTGTTTTCTTTGCTAGTTGAGAGAAATTTATTTGTCAAGCGCCCTCTCACTCGTCGAAGCACCTCGATCTTTTTTTGTTTCAAATCCATCTCAATCACGCTGGAATCTTTTTCATCTTGGACTGGCAGCAGAATCCTTCCATCGATTATCATTACAGAATCAGAGGATATCACAGTTGAGTTGATTATGGCTGTACCTTCGGGCACTGGCTTTGATTTTTTGGCTCCCATAGTCTATATAAGCTGGCCCATTTTTCTTTCTAGTTCTTCAATACGCTTGTTCAATTTCTTGATCATCATGAAGTTGATGGCTGTGATCTTATTGTAGTCAATGTTCATTTGAGCTCCTTCGATGTCATCATCATTTTCTTTCTTCAAGTTTTCATTTCGAGTAATAGTCAACAGATTCATGTAGCCAAGGCGATTCAAGTCTTAAGCAATGAAGCCAAACCTTGGAATGGTTGCTTCCGATCCAGTGTAGTTATACGTGAATACATCTGCCTTGAAGAAGTTTTCACAGTAGGATTCGTCAAGTTGTTTGATGTTTTCTTTAGCTCGTCTATACATGGCACAAACGTAAACTGTTACTGGGCCCAGCTGACTGAATGTTGATGCAGTTGATGTTGTTTGAGAGTATAGACTTCCACCAACATTGAATGTGTTCGATACTGTCCCTGAAACATGCAGCGTTGCAGAAGGTGAACCAGTTCTTATGCCTACTCTCCCGGTAGAACTTATCGTTAGTCGTCTTGTATTCCCAGTCATCATCACGAGATCATTTACTGTTGTGGTTCCAAAATATGCAGAGCTGGTTGAAGTCGCATTTGTTGCATTGCTCAGCTGCAATCCAAAACCAATGGGCGTTGCATTTGATGATTCCATGAAAATGAGCATATCGAAGTTTGCCGATCCATCGTTTAATGCGTTAGATGCCTTTATGTAGATATTGCCAGAATTCAGTGTAACTGGCGCTGTTCCAAATGAACTGGTGTATGGCATATTCGAATTAAATATCATCTTATTAACAGTGTCGGAAAAAGGTAGAGACATCCAGCCGCTGGTGTTGGGGATGAGCCAGCAGGATTTATACAAAAGGCATCCGCTGAAGTTGCAATAGTATATGTATGAGGGAATTCACTTTTATAAGGCTGACTATTGCCAACATTGAAGCAGAATCTATGCGTCTGAGACGTAAAACCAACCGATGGTTTATCATTCCAGCTAATATTAAATAAGTCAGCGCTTGTAGCTGAAACACCACCTACTTGTGCAGTGGGATCAATCGAATATACTAGATTTAGAATGGGATATGTTCTATTGGTGCTGGCGGATCCATCAATTTGCGTACCAATGATCAGTGGACTGGAATCATCCACACGATAGACTCGAATACTATCTCTCAAGCCCGTGCTCGCAAAGTATTTGATCTGGTTTGTGGTAGCGTTGCCCGATCCGAACTGAATCACTGAGTTTGCATTGGTAACCATAGCTTTGCTCGCTGCGACAGAACCCGGAGTGATACCACTCAGATACGTTTTATACCCCGTTACTCCATTCAAATCTGTTGCCGAGGCTGTGATAAGTGTTCCGTTCATGTAAAAGCTGGTGGAGTTAAAAGACCCGCTCACATCAAGTTGATAACCTGGAGAAGTTGTATTGATACCGACATTACCTCCACTTTAATCGAGAGCCTTCTCGTATTATTAGCATCCAGGTATAGATCGCTTGCAGTACTTGATCAAATATCGCATGCGCCACCAGCACTTGCAATACCGATGGTGAGCGTGCTTACAGCTGCTGAGTTAGTAAATGAAGCAACATCTCCTCCAGCACTCTGTGTGTGAGTGATACCTGAACCCGACAGATTCAAACTAGATAATGTACCAACGCTCGTTATGTTTGGTTAAGCTGGAGTAAGCAAAGTTCCAGTCAATGATGTTGCGCTGAGAGAATTTATTCCAGCGATATTTAGGCTACTGTCAACAACCAAACCTTTGTTTGCGGAAGCTATCCCCGCAGTGATACCGGTGATAGATGTTATATCAGCCAAAAAGCAGCTGCAACTCCATTGATGTTCATAGCGGTAGCGTTTATAGATCCATCTACTTCTAACTTATACGTTCCAGATGGTGCTACGGTTCCAATTCTCACGTTTTGGCTAACGTCCATCCACATTGCAATTGCATTGCCTGAACAGATACGAAAAGGATGTTGCGAGATTGCTCCGAGCCTAGGCGCGATGTTTGACACTTCGAGCACACAGTTCATTGGCGTAGTAAGACTGTTTGTCCAACGCGCATAGCTTGCAAATGAAGTTGTGTTGTTGTTGATCGTTGTTTGCAATCCAGTTGTGAGAGTTCCAAGCGATGTAATATTTGGTTGAGCTGCTGTGCTAAGCGTTCCAGTCAACGTAGATGCTGTCAATCCTCCAGACACATTCAGAGATGACAATGTTCCAATCGACGTGATATTCGGTTGCGCTGGTGTCAGTAGAGTTCCAGTAAGATTTACAGCCGTCAAATTACGAAATAAGCTGATATCTTTATTCGCATCGACCATAAATAACTTTGATGCTGTAACTGTGCCAGCTGTGACTCCTGACAGTGAACGGAGATCAACAGCAGCTCCTGCAATCGTCAACGATCCACAGTCGAGATTACCTGCTACAGCCAATGAACTAAAGACTCCAGTCCCACCGAGTTTCTGGTATCTCTTGCCAGCGGTGGCGATGGTCAAGTAATCATTTGATCCAAGGAAGAAAGCGCTATTGAAGACTGGACTATTGGTTGTTGGTGGAAGAGAAGACATTTTGATTACTTGTATATACAATCACAGAAATATGATTTACTTCTTGAAACGATAGATAATTAGTTCAAGAAATATTCAAAGAATGACCATTTTGAATTACCTTTCAGGCTCTGCGTAGCGAGTCCATCGGGCAGTGGCAAATCCAACACCGTCCTCTGTATCATCGCTCAGCTTAGCAAATGCTTTACAAAGATCGTCATCTGCACGAAAACGAATGAGACGCTCTACGATCATCTCAAGGATACCATCGATAACGTCGAGATTTTTGAAAATGGGGTAGTTCCAGCAATGAGCAATTATGACTCTGAGACAAGCAAACTCGTTATATTTGATGATTTGGTGCTCGAACCAAAGAAGACTCAAGCTCAAATCGGTCAATACTTCATCGGAGCCGAAAAACAAGGATGGAGTATGATCTACATTAGTCAGAGCTACTTTGGTATCCCAAAGACGATTCGCATCAACAGCCAATATGCGGTTCTCGGCCGTAACTTGACCCAACGAGATCTTGCAATTATTTGCCGCGACTTTCCAAGTGATATGCCAGTCAAAGAATTTATTGATCTTTACAAGCGAGTAACATCTGAGAAGATGAGCACTATGTTAATGGACATCATCGAAGGAAAGATCTATCGCAATGTCATCGAGTATATCTGCGAAAGGTAATCACATCGTCGAGTCATATTTTTTTGTCTCATTAGCAAACGAATACACACGTTAGGATCGATAATCTGCAACGGACCCATGTCTTGATCATAGAAGTTCAACGTGATCTCGTTATTGGTTCCTTGCATCGGACAATATGCAATACCTTGGCCTTGTGACGTGGTAATAAGTCCGCCGAATCCTACTTCAGCGCTTGTGAAGGTGTGGAGAACTTGATTGTTGCTTGCAATTGGGTTATAAAGATTAGACAGCCCTAGAATTACAGCAGCGACAGGAGGCGTGACGTTGCTATTGATGGCGTAAACGCTCGTAGTTTGAGCAGCAGGATATACACCATTGGATAGCCCAACGATAGCTCCAAATCCAGAGTTATCAATCTGAAGTCGAGGAGTGTATGCAGTGGCTGGCATTTGGGAAGCCGCTTGCTGCTGTGTATTCAGTGACATTCTTTACAGGCAGCATCGTGAGCTGAATCGCATACGCGGATGGATTCTCAGCACACGAGATGAAGTAGTACTATTCACCGGTCGTGTTGTTGGTCAGATTTAAGTTGTTTTGAATACTCCAATGCTGCAGGTACTTGTTGATATCACTTGCTGCGTATGTACCATCTGGCAAGGTGATTGAGTACGTAGTTGTTGTTGCTGCTGTTGGCCAAATGATTTTGAATGAGTTGTTTTGGCGTTGAGCAGTGATAGCCTTCCAGCTGTAATAAATTGAGATCGAGCCAAGTGCGATTTCAAACTGACTGAAATCAATCGGTTGACTGAATCGATATCGGAATTGATGCTGGGCAACTTGATTGTTGACGTTTAACAAAACTGGAAATGACATTCTGATTTGCTTATATATACACAAGTGAAGAAAATGCATCGACGTAAAAAAATTCGCAGGCAGATGATTCCACAACCAATGGATATTGACGGTGATGGTGTCCCTGCGGAACTGTCAAGCCGCTTGGACCCTCCAAGACAGACCATGGCTCCACAAACATTGAGACTCTGACGAAGCAATTAGAGAAGGTCAGTGTTAGCCAACTCGCCAAGGAGCAAAAAAAGGCAAAGAAGCCCAAATACATTGATACGAGTAAGCTACTCACCTTCAAGCGTGACTCTTAGAGAGCTTCATCATCCGCTTGAATTGGGTATAATAACTTGTTGAAAATACTCCTTCTCATACAGATTGTCAAGAAGTTGCTTCATTCCTTTTTAATGTCTGGATTATCATCTCCAATAGCTGTAGCTCCTTGTAGCATTTTCAAGCGTTTTACTACACCATCCAGTTGCTCATTGTACGCCGAATCAAATTCTCGTGACTTGATATGACATTTGCTCAAGCAATATCTCATAAAGTCTTGCTCAGGCTCGTCGAGAAGGCTGAAGAGATGCTTGTCGAAGCTCTTCTCATCTTCAATCAGGTGCCATAAATCAACGAACGCATGAGAGACGAGCATAGTCTTCAGATTTACAAGTGTTTTTCCGCTTCGTAGACGCGCGTGCAATCCATTGAAATTCATAACATGTGGACCCCGTTTAGACGTCATTTGGATGTGATTTGCTTTTTATATTGGGTGTATTCATATTACTTCTCGATTTCAGTTTCAAGTGATTTATCACTGCCTGTTGGAGTGAAATCTCCATGAAATATGCGTTCCCTACGTGCTTTAGAGTGTGTTTGTGGCTTAGCAGGTGATGGAGGTTGAGGCGCTGGCTCATATGAGAAGTCAGGAGCTTCCTCGCTAACCTCTGATGCTGTGGATCTGTTTGCAAACTTGTTGTAGCTCGTATTGGCAGCAAACGTGCTATGGAGTAGCTTAGCGTGAAGGTCATGTTTTTCTCTATTAGTAAGCTTCGCATATGTTGGTGACTGGATCAGATGTGATTCAACAATGTGACGGATCATGTTCATGCTCATTGGCTTTCCATTGTAAATTGCGAAGAGCTTTGAGAGAACTGAACTGAATCCATTATTACTGTCATATTCGCCTGGACTATTGTTGTAAACACGCCAAAGTAGATATGTTGGGGTTTGCCCGAGAGAGCCTGAAAGGAAATGAAGAAAATTAGCAATAAGATTGATCGTTGTTCCATCTAGATCAATAATTTGCGCACCCATGAGGCTAACGTTCTTAAAATCATTCAAGTAGAGCTCCGTTCCTTGGAGGTAGTTACCACCATCAACTTTCTTCAGATAGACTGAGGGCCACACGATACGCAGAGGATAATTGACATTGAGATATAGTGTGACATAGTCAAAATAAGGCGTAGATATGCAATTCGTTTCGCTTTGGTAAGTTTTGCTTAGCTCATTGTTAGATAGAAACATTTCACCATATGTATCCATGATAATCTTCTTGACGTTTCATGGAACCGCTATCAATTCTTGGTAGCTAATGTATTTCTTCTCTTCTTCAGGCGTAAGATCATTATCCAATTTTTCCTCCTTATTCGGCTTGCTAAGTACCTTTCTCACTGCGTTATAGTATTGAAACGCGTCACGAAATCGATTCTTCACCATTTTGTAAAGTGCATTCAAAGTAAGAATAAGACTATCTTTGCTTTTGTAAAGACGCATCAATCTAGCAATCATGTCAGAGCTCTGAACACCATACACTATCTGAAAATTTGCATCGTCGTACTTGTTGGGGTGTTGAGTACGAGCAATGAATTCCTTAGGATCCCATTGCATATTCTCCTTCCCCGATTTGACCAATCGAAGTAGTTCCCTCAAATACAGGTTCATTTAGGCTTTGCCATTGCTCATTTCGAGATCGCGAATAATTATTTGTTCTAGCAGATTTACGGAATGGCGTGAAAGAAGCTGGAAATCAATTTGGGGTTTTTTGAAAAATAATTGGAAGCCAATTGCAGGCTCTGTAATGGATACAGTTGCTGATATCACCGCACCAGAAACCGGTGGATTCAGTCACGACTTTCGTAAAGGAGTGAAGCAATTAACTGGGGTTGGCATGACTCAACCTCGTCGCAATCGTCGTATTGCTGCTTCGGGAAGTTTTAGACTTGGTTAAAGTCAATAGGAAAGAAGAATCCATAGGAGTGGCTCCACTTTCTTTGTATCGCTTGAATGTGACACGCTTGTCCAACTT